TCCCTGAGGGGCTATGGGGGCTCCTTTGGCAATTGGGGGCGGCCCTACAGCTCCGGCTTCTCCTCCCGTGGCCTGGGCTATTCCCTGCCCGGCTTCCAGAGATGGGGCCGGTCCCGCCGCGGCAGCTGCGAGGTTTTCTAAAGCCCTTCGCCGGCAGTGCCAGCCTTGGGGGGCTCGGGGACACCACGGGGACACGGCGGGGCCGGAGCCGCTGTGCCGGGTGTACCCTGAACCCTCCATCCCCTCGGGATACCCTGAGCCCTCCATCCCCCGGGATTCCCTGATCCCTCCATCCCCTCGGGATTCCCTGAGCCCTCCATCCCCCGGGATTCCCTGAGCCCTCCATCCCCCGGGATTCCCTGAGCCCTCCATCCCCCGGGATTCCCTGATCCCTCCATCCCCGGGATTCCCTGATCCCTCCATTCCCCGGGATTCCTTGATCCCTCCATCCCCTCGCTGTACCCCGATCTCTCCTCCCAGCGTTCTGCCTCCCCTGGGATCGCTCGGATTCCCCGCGCTCGGTTGTTGCTCTCCTCTCTGATAATAAACTCCTGTTTGCGTTGCACAAAAGCCTCTCTGGTTATTTCATTTATACCAAATTTTCCTCCCGGGGGGAGCAAAACTCCCCAGGGCGCTGAGGGATCCTTATCGAAGGATCTGCCCCGCTCCTTAAAACGCGGAATGGGAGTTTAATTGTGGCGCTGAACACGATGTTTAACGAGATGTTGAGGAACGTTTGTGCAGCAATTTCCCCGTCATTATCTTCCCCGAGGTTCTGAGTAATTGCTCCTGCTCCGTGGATTTCTAGGGCCACCCCAAAGGCCCCTCAATCGCCGCTTTTAATTAAGCAATTAAATCATAATTGCCGCCATTTCTGAACTAGCGAGGCAACAAAGGAAGAACGAGAGCGAATTTTGTGTTTTATTTGTCGGGTTTTAAGTTTTCTTCCTGGGTTTGTTCAGCCTGAAGACGAAGATCCTTGGGGTGACCTAATTGAACTTTCCAGCGTCAGAAATAGGAGGAAAAACAATTTCCAAAAGCCTGRAGTGACAAGAMAAGGCAGAATGAGTTCAAACTGCCAGCTAGAAGGTTTAGGTTGGATTTTGGGAAGAAATTCTTCCCTGTGAGGAAATTCTTTACTGCCTGTAAAACAGCTTTGGTTTCCCCACTCCTTGATAGCCAGGAGTGATTATTTCGTGTTGTGTTTACAGAAATGTGGCAAAGGGAAAATATTCCCTACCAAAAATTAAGGATATTACTAATTGCCTGTATTTTATCTATGATTAGCCCCTCAGTAATTAG